ACACGTCACCCCCCCCCTCCCCCCCGAAGTGGAGGTTAGTTTAGTGTCTTACTAAAGATTTTAAAACGCAACTAACCCCTCCGAGGGGGGGTTGTCAAGTGTTTTAACCCCCCATTCGGGTGGGTTAGTTTAGTTTTTTACTCAAGATTTTAAAACGGGGGGGTTCGTCAGATATTTTAACCACCATTGGGGGGTTGTTTAGTTTCTTAATCAAGGGTTAAAACACTTGAATGAGACACTAAACTAACTCTTCCGAAGAGGGTTAGTTTAGTGTCTTACTCAAGACTTTAAAACGCAAACAACCCCCCCAAAGGGGGGTTGGTCAAGTGTTTAAACCCCCCATTCGGCGCGGTTAGTTTAGTTTCTTACACAAGGTTGGTGGCGTTTTACAAACTTGAGCTCCGAAAGGAGCGCCCTGCTCTAGTTTTAATAAAATGTTGAGACTGGCAGGAAACACTTTTATGTTGTTCAACTTCACATGATGCAACAAAGGGTCAGATTCACAGGCTCAATGATAATACTATTGCAAGCACTCATAACAGCAGCCTGAGATTATATCAGCAAGTTATTACCCCCCAAGTACCATGATTCATAGCCACCCAACCCTGCTTCAAGCAATATCAGTATGGTGCATGCACAAGGTCATGGAGACATCTGGCAGCCAGTGGAACTTTCTCCCAATTATAAAGAAATTAGTAGCTGTATGATTTTCAGCCTCTCTATGGAACTACACAAACCAGTACTTGTGTGTCACACTAGTAGTCTGGAGTGATCAAGCAAACAGTGTGCTCTGGTGACTGAGCTGAATAAACGAGTGAGTGAGACATAGCTAGAAGCAGTACTTAGATATGAGTGAAGTCAAGAGACAAAGACAGAAACACTGGTGTTCTGCATTGAAGAAGTTAGCTGTTGGAACAGAAGTGAGTCAAACAGCAACAAAACCAAAGTTAAAAGAAATAATTCACTGAAAATAGAATGTGGAATAAATCCATCCGTCATCTTAAAAAAACGCATGTGTAAACATATTGATTATTCTTCCAAAGTTTAATATCTATGACCTGTATGCATGTAATTAGGATAAATGAATATTTAAAAACATGGAGACACTAAGTTTCTCCTACACACTGCTGTCTACAGTCCACAGATCAGGAGAGAATCCCTGCTAGGAATTTGATACACGCGCATGCGCAAGATTTCGCGGTGAGTGACAACCGATCCTAAAAGCATTCGTTCCACAACCACTGAACAAACAACAGATGACAGGCTTTGATGTGTTCTAATGGGTACAGCTTTAAGATTACCTCACAGTGGCACAGTGATTTAATCTAGAATATTATCGCAACACCCGCAGAACACATTAGAGGTGCACTCACTACACGCTACTCGTAACAGCTTGATGTTTTCAGTCTGTGTGTAGTAGTGTAAACTATGGCGTGTCACATTTCCCACCAATAGCAGCCCTGTAGTCCACTTGATAGTAAACATTCCCCCTGCACCGCCCCAGAAACGACTTCCCTCAGCAGGGTTTTTCTCGTGATCTGTGGACAGTATCTGCAAGTCCACATGATGGAACTATCCAGAAGTCCAACATCAACATATTCACTACTGTGGGAATCTTGTATCTCATAAGATTTACAAATTTTAAGTTATAGAAATGTGTAATTAAAATTGAAGAACTGAATATTGTACTTTCTGGAATGACAAGATACACTCCTTGTTTCGAGTATGCAATAACCAATTTGTGTACGTAAATGACAGTATGGCTATTACTTTGCTGCAGAGACCCATGATTCAGTAGCTGATGTGGAGCCTAGAAGAGTATTCACAATTAATTCTTCTGACATCACTATTCATAATGAATCTTCCATCAATGAATCATTTCTACATGCATGAGTTTTAAAATTAACTGATAAAATAAGTGGAAAGGTGTATTTAATTCCTGGAGGGACTCAGGAAAACTGCTAAATCTTCAGCTGGGCTCCAGGCTGAAATTTAAACCTGGGATTACCCAAATACAAGGCAGGAGTGGTTACTCTTAGATGCGATGTTCAGTTCTATGCAGCTGAAAAAAAGCAGTGTTCAAATAATAAATCAATCAAGGTAGTTTACCTGTGCTGTGGATCTTCAACAAATGGAATTCCTAACAGTTTGTTAGAATTTTGTTCAGGGCCATCTTCTTCTTCCACTCGGAAACCAAATTCATCAAACCTATAAACAAATTATTAGCTATTAGCATGCATGCATACATACATAACAATAGTTCTAGCATGTTGTAAACACTTGCTGTGACATCCAACTGTCATAAAGTTCATATTTATTATTTTAGAACATTTTGCGTACTTAAAATGTTTAACAGGCCCAACAGTTCAAAAGTAACTCCAAACTGCTGTCTGTCATCTATCAACATATGTATAAAATTAATGCTGCCTAATTTTAATCCCACAGTGCGATTTAGAAAAGCCGCATGAGGATCTTGCCTGTTCGAAGATGAGTGGATTTGATGTGTGAGATTAATCTCATGATAATGTCCTATCAAAATGGCTGCTTCACTGGATGCATGAACTAAGTAGATATGATTTATTACATTACAGAAGAAGCTAGTCTATTGGAAACTTATAGGCTCTTAAACAATGTGTATGGCAACTGATCCATTAATGTGAGCACTGCTACATATTCGGTCAGGCATTTTGGAGTGGGAAATATGATTCTGCTGACAGGTCTCAAACAGGCAGTCTTGTAACAGCAATGACACTGGAACACAGGAGTCAAAAGGATGCACTTTTTAATATGATCACTAACAACATGGAAGTTAGAAAACCAGATACTCCAAGATTCGTAGGTTGTGGGTTCCATTAATACTGATCGAAAAACACAAAACCCAGAACTCTGAGAGCAATATGAAATTATAACTGAAGACTTTCTGTCATGTATTACATAGCTAATAACACAAGGGCTCACCATTATCACAGTGACAGTGTATGGAGGAGCACCATAATATGTCATTAAAGGTGAAGTAGGAAGACACCCTTCCATGGAAAAGGTACCATGACCAACCCCATCTGCTGAAATGCCAAGTCTGAATCATAAGGCAACACAGCATCCAAGTGTGCCAAGATCCAGAGATCAAAGTGACCAAGGTTTTGAGCTTCTTGCAATCTATGGTCCTGGGAAATATCCATATAGATTTTCACAAACTATCTTTGGACATGTTATGTTACCACAAATCAAAGAAAGAATGCAAACTGAACTTGACTGTACCTCACTTCCCTAAGCAGAGACTGCTTATCGTTTAATGAGCATCGCCCAAGGTGGTGAAGACTTTAACCTACTCTAGAACAATGTAAAATGAGTTCTATCAGGTGTAAAAATCAAAGGCATGTAAACAATTTAATGCACCTACAGATGTTCTCAATTTAAATATCTAAAGATGTGTGCACAGCAACAGACGTGCCTAACAGTGAACTTCACTAACAACACAGGCAAACTTTCAACATTGTTTCCCTTTCTCTTCATGCTCCACTGACATTTCTAGCAGCAAATGACATTGAGAAGTGCACCATAATTGCACACACATTCTGTGTAAGCGCTACAGCTGTGTTACCTGTATTCAGGCTGTGAATTAGGATCATCAGGTTGTTGCCCAAGCTTAGTAAGAATATCCTGAGGCCACATGGATGGTGTCAGGGCAGAAAATGGCCCTCCTGGTGTTGGTGTTACACTGTCAGCTTTAATGCTGAGTCCTTCTGTGCCTTCCCCAAGATATGAAGTATCTGTTTCTCCTTCATCTTCAGATAAAGCTGTATCAACTTTCATCTGTAACATCCAAAGAATATTTACAGAAATCATCAATACTATGCCATTAATACCCGGAAACTGCTTGCAATAACCACATAAAAACATTTTACTAGAGATGAACATCAAGCAAGTATACATAGCTTAGGTAATGTAATTCTATATATTGGAAAATCAACAGTATGCTGATGTTGGCCTTCTGGATTGAAATGCTGTGTGAACTTAACACTGCTTCCATCTTCAGCTCAAATAAACATTAGTTTGGATGGAAACCTGGAAAATTGTCTAAAACATAAACATATTTCTAAGAATAGACATACCTAATCTACAAGACAACTAACCATGTTATATAAGAGATAATACTGAATGAAGTTCACATTCTATAAATAAACCCTCTTAGGAATGACCTCTCCTCCTGCCAAAATATCCACTCAACATTCTGTTCTCTTAGGAATGACCTCTCCTCCTTCTGCCAAAATATCCACTCAACATTCTGTCTCTTCTGCTAATGATCATTTTACACTTACACTGTTATTAAATAAGGACAATGTAATAAGATTTTGAACAAAGTTCAATCATAAAGTTGTGATGAGAAGAATATAAACAAACATTTCATGTTTCCAATGAATGAATGAATGAATCAATTAATACAGAGTTTACAATGGTAGGTAAGTACTTACATGAGTGAGATACTTTCATAATTAATATTTCTCTTACCTAATATATTATTTAATTTGTATTTGCCTGATATAATATTATATTTGTATAAGAATAATATTTTGCAATAAATACATCTTCATGTGGAACAATCAGAATCTCTGTTCAAAAGAAAAAGAAGACAAGCATTCAACAGAAGACCAGGCTGAGGCTGCCAAAAAACAGTGTCAATAACATGGACTGATGTATAATCAACCTTTATCATATGGAATAGAAGATTTAAACTGCTATACTGCAGAGCTACCATCTGGATTTAAGCTCCAAAGTTTAACAGTTTAGCATGTAACACACAGACAGATGAATGCTCATAAGCAAACGAAGAAACAAGAAAACGCTACTTGTTGATGCAGAAGCATGAAAATGGCTGTCTTCTGGGTTGCTGCACCATGTAGTCTGGTAGAAGTTTACCAACGTTTCAGAGGTTCACTCTGCCTCCATCATCAGGGTGATGATAGAGGTACCAAGAACCTCTGAAATGTCAGTAAACTTCTACCAGACTACATGGTGCAGCAACCCAGAAGACTGCCATCTTCAGACTCACTGCCGTGAAAGCATCAAATCCTACACAGAAGCATTAATTTTCAAGGTTGGAAAGAAAGGCTATGAGAAGTGACTCAACAGATTGAATTTTGTTTTATAAAATGTAAGAATTCATGAATGGATAATAGCACCAGCAGTGAAGATCTGGTAACAAGTTATGCAATACAGCAACTGAATGGGACACATCCGCTATTGGCATATGCTGCTGATGTTAATTTATTGGGTGATGACATAAATACAATGAAGAGGAACACAGAAGTTTAACTAGAGGCTAGTAGACAGGTGGGGCTAGAAGTAAATTAAGAAACAACTAAGTACATGTTAGTATCTCGTCAGCAGACAGGAGGGCAGAATTATCTTAGGGTGGCTAATAAATCCTTTGAAAGTGTTATAAAGTTCAAATATTTGGGAACAACAATAACAAATCAAAATGATACTCATGAGGAAATTAGGAGGAGACTAAATTCCAGAAACTTCTCAGTTCAAAATATTTTGTCTTCCCATCTGATTTCTAGGGACCTGAAAATTAAAGTATACAAAACAATAATTTTGCCTGTTGTTTTGTATAGGTGAGAAACACGGTCTCTCACTCTAAGGGAGGAACATAGATTGCAGGTGTTTGAGAATAGGGTGTTCAGGAGGATATTTGGGCCTAGGAGAGAAGATGATGGGGTCTGGAGAAAACTACACAATGACGAACTTAAAAATTTATACTCCTCCCCCAATATTGTCAGGGTGATTAAGTCAAGAAGAATGAGATGGGCAGGGCATGTAGCGCGCATGGATGGGACAAGAGGTGTGCACCAGGTATTGGTTGGGAAGCCTGAGGGGAAGAGACTGCTGGGGAGACCTAGATGTAGATGGGAGGATGATGCCTGGTGGGATCTATGGGAGACAGGAGTTGAAGGCAATAGGATTTTGTTGACCCAGGACAGGGACCAGTGGAAGGGTTTGGTTAATTCAGTGATGAACCTTTGTGTTCGGTAAGCCATCTAGTTAGTTAGAGGCATCTAGCAGTACTGCGCAACAACTATCACCCAGGTCATTTGAAATAAAACTTCCTATCGACTGGTGTGGGTTTAAATGCAGCATACTTAGTATGCTGCATTTGTTTTCTGTTATCATTTTGAAAGTGTAAAGTTCTTTTGAGCTCACCCTGCATAATCTGACCCATTGGAAGCATCGTTATATAAACCAAGAATAATTGGCAACTCAACTTATTACAACTATACTGTCACTCACATAAATACTAAAACAAAGCAGTGAGTATACATATGTGATGTACAAATGAACACAAAATACAGGCAATAAAAAGGAAAGAGGAATGGTACTACAAGGCCAATAGTAAACACAACATGATGCTGACAGAACATAAAGAACTGCAGAATAATAATTTAGTAAGCATGAAATTACCAAAACTGTATTGTATTATTGTCCTTTTGCAACTGACAAATAACACCATTGCTATCAAGTGAGAGATCAGTCCTGCACATTAACTAGAAAAAGAAACAAAAACCTGCTCTGGACTAGGAAGACACAGCACTGAACATTAATTCTATTTGCATTTGGAAAATAACAATAGTTTGAACATTTTGCATTATATAATGTCAAATGGCAAAATTATTAATAAATAATGAATTGGCAGGATGTGGAAGGGAACAGCTGTGGCCTAATTTGAAGCACTACCCTGGCACTTGGCTAAGGGAAATCAGAAAAAACATGAAACCCTGTCAGGGTTTCTGGTCACTTACCCAAAACTTAAACCAGGGACCTGCAAACACTAAGCAGTAGCACTAACCACACACCTACCAAATTTGGTCACTGCACATGAAAAAGACTTAACTGAAAGTTAGGTATGTAAAATAAGGAACCAACAAATGTCCAGACAACAAGTACGTAACGAGCTGAATATTACACTGAATACTTGGCGTTTGAAAATTAATGGCAGTAAATATGCAATCCCACGCAGTACGTAATTTTAAATTATAAGAAGCTTGGAATATAAAACAGATTTACCTTATGCAATATAAAGCAATTTGTAGCACATAAACAGCATGCTTAATGGGAAATACAACATCACAGACGACATTAGTCTTGGGATTTAAACACCAACTTACATTGTAATCTTCCTTGCCTGCATATCCTTCGTGCGGTCTATTTCCAAACAGTGATTTGGCAATATCCATTATTAAATGCTGACTAACTTTGGTTTAAAGGCTATTTCTGTTGTTCTGAGACTTGAAATAAATGAAGCAGTTGACAAGTGATATGAAACCTTGTGATAAAGACGGTAGATAAAAAAAAACACTTTAAAAATGTACTCTTCTACTGTTCGTAAGTGCGAGTAATTGCAAGTATAAACAGTAACATGAATAAAGGTAAATGTTCATAAACACGAAGAATGTATTCTACTCTATAATAAATTAAAACTTATTACATATGGCCTTGCAGACGATACACAACAAACCCATTCCAAGAGACATCACAGATTACAAGTTATCAGTTTCGGGGCACTGCTAGATATATACCGAATGTCAGAGAAGCAAATATAGAAGAAGAGCATTTGGATTAGATACTTCTATTCGATTGAAGCCATTACCAATCACATCTATACAACGAAGTGTTGAAGCATCTGGAGTTCCTAGATTTTCTTCAAAGGATATGAGTACTTTACTTTCATGTTCCTGAAAAATCGTACTTGCAATTCGTAGGGACAAGCCCTCCACGTGTAAGGAACAAATATGTTCTGTGACTTAATGTAGCAAGGATAATTTCTTCAACGTGCACAGATTATGAAGACATTGTTATATATTGTAGCAAGCCAACGATCATAGTACGTTTAGTCCAGTCTAAATAGGTGAAATTGAAATTTGCAAGTGGTACCGAGGTTATGGGTAGGTCACTGAACTGGGAATGTAGCGAGATCCTCCCCACAACTAAATAAAAGCGATTTGTGCTAGAAACTTCTTGCGTCTGACATTAATACGTCAATGAGTAATACGTCAGCTGTGGAACACGTCATTTCTTCCAACAACCAACCAATGTGAGCGGAAGTTGTGATCACGTGATTACTGTTTTGACTGGTCTGGGATGGCAGAAGTTGTGAATGTTGATTTTCCGATGACGGAAGAAGAACTACTATAATTTAGTCGTTCACATGGCGATTTCTAGTATATTTAGTGTGAAGAATGTCGTTGCTTTTTATTTAGGGACATGCATCGTCGCTGCCATGAGTGGCGAAAGTGTAATAAGCGAACTACCATTCTGTGGTCATGACAGATTTAACACGGAACACAAGTAAGTTTATTTTATGGCATTCTGTAATGACAGTGATAATCGTTTCTGAAGTAATTTTGACTTGCTAACTGTACAGTATTCTAGTACAAGTAATCGGGTTTGCATATTTATAAACATGCAAATACAGCATAACCTTGATATCCACTGAAAAATGGGAAATTAATCTTGTCAGTCATTCTGTTCTATGAACAATGTACTTAACGTCCATATGTTCAGTATGACTGTGCATGTAGGGATGAATGGTTATTATGACTGTGGAGTAGAATGCTGATGCAGGTGGCATAAAACTGGTTTTACCAGGACTTGCACATCAATTATTATCATTGTTTACATGGTTTCATATGTAGATCTGATAGTTGATTTCTCACTCCATTAAATTACTCTTTCAAGTTTCCTCTTTTATCTGTAGGTGAGGGGACAGTTGGATTGTCACCAAATATTAAAATCTCAACAATAGGTTTTGAATAATTCCTTTAGACAAGAAAAATTTGTAGTTTGTTTGTCATGCACCAGTAGCTCTTCTTGTGCCCTCTATAGAGAACAGGTGCTTGAAAACTTTAATCTCTTCACCTGTGATATCCCATGATGGCAGGCTGCTACTTATGTACAGAATGTAATGTTTCTTCTAGTAGTCAGTCTTCAACTATCCAACATGCAGCCTGTCACTTTACTGACTGGGCTATTTTAAATCATTCTTTATTTTAACACCATGTTTCTTAACCTGCATGAAGTACATGTGCATGTGACAACTCATATAGGATGTTAGTGGAACTGAATCTTAATATTCCATGATGGGTGTAAGCTGCTTCAGATACTAGTAAAGGTGATTACAGCAATAAGTGTTTGGAACATCAGTTGATAAAATTACAACTTTATATTCAGTATATTAATCATTTAATAAGAATATGCTTTGTTGTGGAAAGTATTTCCTTTATTTACAGTGCAGTGAGCTGTTGGCGACAAATATTTGCCCATGTTAAGTACTGTGTGTAGGAAATACTGTTAAAATTAAGCATTATGTATCACAATGTGAGAACTGGCCAACAGCTACCCAAGTAGAGGCACAATACTCTTTTTAAAGTACTATGGTAATCATGGTTCATATTGGTGTAATTTTGGGAATCAGCTGAAGTGTTTGTAAGTTGAGTGTAGAGCCATAGTTTGCAAAACCTCAACTTAATTAACCATGAGCTTATATAAAAGAAAACTCAACCAAATATTATTATCATCATCATCAGGCTGGTATTTGTGAGTACACTGGATGGGCGGCTATCAGCACTAGATCCATCTGATGGGGGTTCTGTGAACTGGAGTATTGAAACTGGACCTGGTCAGATGCTGTCTTCCAGTATACACAGGCTTGAGGTATGTTGTTGATCCTTCAACTTCCCTCACCTTTGACAAGGACAGAACTTTTGAATGTGGGGAATACTGAACTGGCACAAATTTTGTAATCAATTGTAAAACTGTAGGTTCTGTCTGCTGACCATCATCTTTTTATTCTTGGTATCTTATCACTCTGGAGCAGGATTGAATCATGTTTGTAAGATGCTTCTGTCTAAAACCTTTGCTCTTGCCGAGTGGACTGAGACCTTGTTAGACAACTGGCCATAACATATTTGTAATCTGTGTCAGAATGACTTAATATGTTGTTTTTCAATAAATATTTATCAAAGAATATGTGAGTGAGTTATTCAAACATTTAAAGCCAAAGCTCATCTAAATAATAATTAAAAATTTGGTTCCTACCTCAAGGAAAATACAATACTTCTCCATTACAAATAAACACATTGGTGAACATTGTTTAGGAAAGTAATCTTTGTTAACTGAGAAACAAAACAATTACACTTTGTAGGAAAATTGCATTTATCAACTTTTAAAAGGTACTGACTATAGTTACCACTGTGGTAATGATATTGTTGAATCAATTTCAGAATTTTTATAATGCTGAAATGAATGATACAAATTAAGCACTGGGTGAATATTGTGAATATGAATGAATATGTACATAGTTACACATCGGTGTAAGTAAGCTATATGGACTATGGATTTATGGGGCTCCAGAAATACTGTAGTATGACAAGTGTCATCAAGAAGCTATGCTGGTCACTTCCCATCCCCACCCCTATTGCAGTTTGCCAGCTTGGCATTGTTCTGCCAACCCCCTTTTTGTTCTTCTAGCCTGCAAGAAGCTTGACATGTTTGAGAAACTTAAAGTTAGTGCCACTAGACAGAGTATCCTAGTCATTCTAGAAGAAACTGTGCATCTCCACATAATACTGGAATGGCTGAAAGTTGATAAAAGATCACGTTTTGGTGCTGGGGAGTGAGTGCAGATCTGACCCTGATATGGAAGTGTTTGAATGTTAAATGAAGTGAATAGTCATTGCAAACAGTGGATACAGGAAAAGTGGAAGAAGAACAGTGAAGTTATAAAGCAGTTGCATGAATAATAGCAGCATGCTTAGCAGGCATACAGTTCCACACCTGAGGAGTGGTTGCACGTGCCTCTGAGAAGGACAAACATTACCAGTGACACAGTTTCATTGTTTCACAGTTCAGTAACACAGATTATTGATTGTAATTGTATTGTGATTGCAGCAGTATTAGTGCAAAAGAAATCCCTCCTGAGTGAACCTGCAGTGTGAATAATTACTACATAAAAGTATTTACTACTGAAATTTTCAAACCTTTTGTACAACCTTTTACTTTCTAACAAGGGTGCAGCAATTACACAGGTTTCACCTTGTAATGTGAATATGGTCTTGTAAGAATGAAATGTAACTGTAATGAAATTTTAAAATATTTACTGGTATATTTTGTTCTCAGGAAACAGGATCACTTGTAGTTTTAACCATGCCATGTAATAATCATATTTAAATGTTTCCCTTTTTATTCATGTTCCCAACTGAAAGTTGCAAGAATGCACCTTCTTCTTCCTCCTAATTTGTTTCCAATGTATGTGGATCATCTGGTAGTTAAGCCACTCCATCTGTCACTGCCATCCCTTGACTCTTCTTTCTCCTCAGTTTATTTCCGTATTCTTCCTTCTCTCTGTTTGACAGTTTTCCTAACCTCTTCTTGCCATCTTGATCTTGGTCTCAATCTTGAATGTTTCCCTCTTAAAATTTTCTCCATGTTCTTTCTTAAAATGTGCACATGCCATCTCATTCTGTTATTTGTTAGTCTTCCAGTGTGTTTAACTTTTAATTTTATATAACTTTTTGTTTAAAAATGTGCCTGTTAGCTGCTTTATTCAGTCATGTTTTTCTTATTTTGTTTTGATGGTTGCAGTGAGTTCTGAGTTCCTGCTTTCATGGCAAAGATGTGTTTTTGCAAATAAAATTATTTGTCTGTGATCAGATTCAAACACAGGATCATTATATCGAATTATTATGAATGATAAATCACTGAGAAATAAAATAAATACTTGCTTCCCTAGCACTTCTAGCCTTGCCATTGCACCACAAACAATGCAGTGATAATGTGAAAGATAATACTGATGATTACTTCTTGCATATTAACAGATAGTTACTGGACTGTGTATGTTTTACAGACAAACAGAAATTACACATTCTATTTCATATATCACTGTCTCCATATTTTGATATCCATTGCCATTTGCTCTTAGTATGAGTTCCACATATGAATTTTTAAATATATGCAGTAAAACAATATATCAAGGGCACAATTTTAAAGATTCAGTTTGTTTGTACAAATACAACACACATAAAAAAAATATATTTAGACTTTAGGGTTTGAACTTGCAAAATTGATCTTCACATCAACACAAGTCCCCATTCTTACTGACTGGTCTATGAAGGACCATGGACAACCAACTGAAGACAATTTTTTACCTCTGTTTTGCTTTCAGAGGACCTGAAGAAGTCTTTAACATAATTCATGTTTTTTAAATTATGCAGATGTATTGGTGTCTTTGAACTGCATTGCGCAAATTTTTGGGGATATAAAAGTAACAGTAATGCACACATGTTCAGAACACATACTACAGTAAGGCAAGTGTATTGTGCATTGACAATAAGAAGTTTGAAATTTTCTGTTACAGCTGACTAATAATGGACAGTTTGTGCGGATGATCCCTTCACTCAGTGGAGGTATATACAGATTCAATGGCAGCAGCATTGAGTCTGTTCCTGTCACTGCTGACCTGTTGCTTAAATCTGCTCCATTTACATTCTCCAGTGACCTTGCTATCTCAGGTTTGAACATACTTGATTGGCTAATTTTTTGAAGTAACAGGTAAAATTACATTAGGAGTTAATATTTTAAGAGGCATACTTCAAAGAGTGTAACCCAGTCACATCTGATTTAAATACCTCTCTACTAACACAGAAGGTGATTTAAATACGCTAGTAGCAGATAGAAACATTACTAGAACATTAAAAATTAATTAAAAGTCAACTGTGCATGTATTCATTTTCATTTGTGAAGTTAAGTTGCTGAAAGTATGTATTTACACATATGTGGTCCTATATGTAGATTTTATATGACAGACATGGTACATCTTTTAGTGGCCATTTTCTCCTTTTATGTTGCTGGGACAAGGTAAGAAGTGGGCCAAATATTTTTTCTTACAAACGTAGAGGGGTGGAACTAGTTGCTGGACATCCATGTTAGAAGTCGGCATCTCCATAGTCTTCAGTGACTGGTTTGCAGTGGCAGCGCTAAAGTCTGTACAAGGCACCTTATTGTTTGCTGGCTCTCATTGAAAATTAAATTATTTAAAAACACTTATATCAAGTAGATAGAAAACAAAAATCTTTTGATGGCCTTTAATGAAGGCATCTACTATGTAACTGCATAAAAGGAATAATTTTATTATGTTGGTTAGTCACAATCTATCTATAATTAATCTTTATTTATTCACAAATATATCTGTTACAGTGATTCCTAAATTGTATCAGCAGTTCAGAGTCACTGTAATATTCTGAATCACAAACATCACTGTCTCAATTTAGCCATTATTACTTATCATTATACGTACATGCATACATTATATAACACTGTTCAACAAATTTTTCATTTCTTGTTATGGGCATGAAAGTAAGTTTACTTATAGATTTTGGGGTTATAAACACCACGGAAATAGTGCTTAAATTGGCAGATTGGCTCTTGTTTTCGAAGAAAACTAATTTGTTATATTTATACAAGGTATTTTTAGTTATATGGCTACGAACATACCTTTGTCAAACACTGCGCCTTTTCGCCTTTCGCTTATATTTAGCTACTGGAGCATCCCTTTTCACTATCCAAAAAAATAATCGGCTAACATGGCAGCACTCCATTTGCTTTTGTATCTTTGCTCCATCGCTGAGATGTCTTGATGGAAGCACTCACCATGTACATCGCTGACGGCACCACAGTTTGACGGGAAGAAATCCAGGTGTGAGTGCAAGAAATGAATCTTAAATGACATGTTGCACCCCAGTTTTCCATAAGAAGTCAGTGAGTTCACTTTCTGTTTGATAGAATTTATCACTGTTTATTTGCGAGTACGAAATGTTGTCACTTTCACAGAATGATCTAGAAGATTTCACTGTTCTAGCCTCGAGGCCAAAAACTCTGCCTTATTATTCAGCAGTTTGAGATCCCTGATGAGGTCATTAAGCTCACATTCTGTGATCTTATGTGGTTCAGAAGGATAAAGGTTTGTATAAAATGGTGGATCTCTTGACGTAGACGGCTGCTATACTTCTTCGTGTATATCAAACTCAACATGAACATCATCAGTGTCTTCATCTTCATCAGAGTCTACAGAAAAACTTTCGCGTGGTTCAGGAATAGGTAGTAGTTCACCGTGGGGCATGGGGCGAATTGCAGATGGTATATTTGGGTACATCACTCTCCACTTTTTATTCATTGTCACCCCTTTTTGAATAGGAGGCGCCATACAGAAGTAACTGTGTGATGTGATTTGTTGGCTCCCTCCATACCATGGGCACTGGAAAAGGCACAGAACGGTCCCTTAAGATTCACCCACGCGTTGAGTTTTGATGAACAGGTAGTGCAGCATATGTGTGGAGCCCAGTTCTTGTCCTGATTGCCTACTTTACACCCAAAGTACAATTTGTTAAGCCTTTTTTATGGCTTAGTAAAAGTACACTTTCTTGAAGCAAATGTGACTTCTCCACATACGTAACAGAAGTTATCCAGACTATTCACGCAATTATGGGGCATATTAATCTCACAACATACAAATACTGCACAAGAAATAGGGATCTCACAGAGAACCGTTAACTGAGAACAAATTACCCAGTACCTGACCGGATCCGAGGAATACTGAAAGAGTTGATGCATTTGAGGTGGCAACAACTTACCACATAATGCAGAGCGGGATGACTTGCTGATCACGTTTTAAGAGCGTGGTGGTACTATAACTGATAATAATGTAGAGTAACTTGCTAATATGAAACCCTAACTGTAATTCAAAAACAGGAGCCAATCAACATATATTAATGTGATTTCTGTGTTTAGCAGCCTAAAATTAGTCAAGATTGGTTAGTTTTGTTTTCATAACATTTTACGTGTTGACCAGTGTGATATGTTATTGCTTTACCTGCAAACCAATAATGTCAATAATATTTGAATATTTTAAACAAACTGAGGTAATAGGTGCAGAGACTTCAAATAGGATGGCATGTCATGTCTTTGAGATGTTTGAGGACTTGCATACCAAGCTGAGTTACGTAGGTAATATAACTCATATACCATAATTTTGTACATATAGGGTTCGGCATTGGAATGTGACAGTTTTCAGAGTGCAGCTGCAGCTATTGAGTGTTGGGGAAGTGTGTGTGGCTACGTGACCGCCAAGGGATGCAGTTTTGTCTGCCAGTGTAGTGAGAGACAGTATGGCTAACTGGTCAGTGGCGGAATGCGTATTCGCGGTAATAGCATTTATTGAAGGCAAATCCGTAATCCAGGTCCAGAGAATATTTAGGCGTGCATTTAATGTTGTACGGCACGGAAGAATTCCTACCCGTAACATTATTTTGAGGCGGGTAGAAAACTTCAGTAACACCGGCAGTGTTAGTGATCGTTTTTCTGGTAGTGCACAAACAGTCCGCACACTACAGAACATTGCAAGGGTTAGGGAAGTGGTGCAGCTGAGTCCAACTTGCTCTGCTAGGCATCAATCAGCTGCATTACACCTATCGGACAGGAGTGTTTGCCGTATTTTGTCCGAAGACCTCAAATTTCATCCATACAAAATTAAATTGAATTAATGAACTGTTTGCGAGCCATGTTTCCCGGACACATCATTTCTCGATTTGGAGATGTCGCCTGGCTGCCTAGGTCCCATTATCTAACGGCTGCCGATTACTTCCTATGGAGATATTTGAAGTCTAGAGTGTATGTTAACAAACCACGCACCATCATGGAGTTGAAACAATGCTTCACCGAAGAAATTTGAGCAATTGATGTTGCTTTATTGTGACGAGTTATGGGCAATTTCCAGTCTAGATTACAAGAATGTATTCGTTGTCATGTTGTCATAGTGGCTGCTTGACAAATGTTATTATTAAGAAATAAGCAGAGATTAATAAATTGCATTGTACTGCTGTTTTTCAAGTGATATTGTTTTATTTTAATTTGACCCGAGTTAGCCACAATAGCGCTCTGAAAACCGTCACATTCCACTGCCGCACCCTGTATGTATACACATAATTTGAATTAGATGTTATTAGACTTGTAGTTTAAATCCTCCAGTGCTGATGGGTTATGTCCAATATTTATATTGTCCTTCCACCTGTGTTTTGGTCACTTAAATGGTCTCTTCCCTTCAGAGCCTCTTACGTTTACATGTGCCATAGCTACTGATTGTAGAAGAAAAGTTTAAAAATCTATTGTTGGTCTTTATTGCTAAATTTGATTAATGTTGGTTAAAAGATTGAAAAGATGAATTGTGTACACAAAAAATAAACATACTCGATCTCGTTTACTGTATTTTAGGGGGAAAAGAGACCAGAACTTACGGTGTTGTTGTCAAGACTGGCCAGTTGCTGTATGAATGCTCTATGGAAGGCTGCAAAAACTCAACAGAAAACTTGACACCTGATGACATTGTAGTTATTCAGAGGCACACACAGACCGTAAGAGCTATTGAAGCACGCACTGGTTCTGAAAGGTTAGTATACTTACTGTCCTGTCATGGCACAAATGAAGTAGCAGTGTTGGACAGACAGAAGCTTACAAGTGTTTGGCCCAATGGCCTGTCACATTTCACATTAAAATCTTCTTTGGTCAGACTCTTTTCATGGGTGTTTTATTTAAATCGTAATTAAAAAAAAGTTATAACTCGGGCTGAATGTTGGGGCACATGGGTAACCCTGTCATTTTGAGTTTAAATGAGTCACCATTCTAAGCGGACTAAGGA